AAGTAATGGCAGGATTTAGGTGAAAAGTGTAACTTTGTTTTTTTCTGAAATATATGTTTAATGTTCAGGTGATAGAAATGAACAGCTTTTGTAAATCAAACTCTGTGTCAAAGGCACACTTCCTCAGTCCAAAGTGATACCAGTGCTATTCTCCAATCAGTGTTTCAGAAATATCAGTTAAATGCAGTTTTTAGTCTCTTGCTTTATAGCAAAGTAGAATTAGACAATGAAATTTCTGTTCTGATATAACTATTTTGGGAAAATCCAGATAGGCACAGCATTACTATCTTTATTAATTACTTCATGTCTTTGGTTATGGAACAATGACTACAAACCTGGAAGTGTCAAAATAATTGCTTTTCAGTATGCAGTTCTTGTAGGCTACAAAGCTCAGGAAATCAGGTGTTTTATTGAAGCTGCACAAGGATAGTATACAAAGAGTAGGAATATTAAAAGAGTGGAGAAGTTGAGAGAAAGAAAATGAATGGGACAAAATCTCAGTGGATCTTCCTAGTTCTGTTGTTTTTCCTTGAAGATTATTTGTTGTGTGTGCAACAAAGCAAACTCAATAGGTTAGGTTAGCTGCAGGTATAGGGGCAGAAAAGCCATTTTTAGAAAAATACTTTGATTTATCCTTTAGTTGTTTTTGCCCTGTAGCATGATGTGATACTGTTTTGCAGTGTGTGCTTGAAATAGTACTGAGTCTGCTTGCCTCTGTAGTGTGTATGGTTTGGATCTTCCATCTTCAAAAAGGATAAACTAGAATTTGAGTCAAGGAAAAGGTGAACAAATCTTATGAGGGGAAAACCAGATGAAATTAATTTTATGACTTCTAAGAGCAGCAACAACACAGAATCCAAGAGGCTGGTAAAAAAGGGAAAGGTTGCAATTTGCATGTCAAAGGCATAAAAGTCCAAGAAGTTTGTGGAGAGATTTGAATTATAGGGCACTTCCAGCACAAGAAGAACAAAGTATTTTCTATTTGGGGGTGCGTTTAACCTGAGGATTAGGGAAGGATTTCTGACCACTAGAGTGAGAGACTTATGGAGCATCTTTCCAGTCAACTTACATAAAACCTCAAAGATACTCCCCTCCTCTTTCTGAAAGAGGTTAAGTTACTATTGGAAGCACTGGGGAATTGGGGGAGCTCTCATGATCTGATGAAGTATAATTGTTTCCAAGGATCTCCTAACTCTGCTTTTTAACTTTTCGGTTTTGCTTGTTAGCATTTTCCTAATAACTTTGATAGCAATTAGGTTTCAATCAGTTTCTCAGATCTTACATAGGGTTTCAGTAATGAGAAAAAAAGACCAAGGTTCTTGTGCTCTGAAAATCAATGTTAAATGCAGTTTTTGTGGAATGGAAAAGAAACAGGGCCAGGAGTATACTGGCCCTTAGGAATTTGGCTAAGGATACAGTCTGTCACACAGTATTTTATAATACTTATGAAAAATTACTGTTTAGATATATAGATCTTGGGAGATGAGGTTTTCCATATCCATCTGAGCTCAGGTTTAGATGGACTGATGCAGTTTGTGCCAATAGCACAAATTTTTTTGTTTTTCTCCAAAGGAGAATGTGTTTGTACACAAGAGGTACACAGTGTTTGAACCCCTGATATCAGCAGCTTTCATATTTAAATACACTCCCTGCTGTTTATCAATAACTTTTGTTTTAATATGCAACCAACAGGATATTTTAAGGGAATAAAGGCAAATCTACGAGTTTGTCATTTATCTAATGCAAGTTTTCTTTGAACCTTCACATCTGTTCATGTCATTGTTTGAATTCTTGTAAAAATTGTTGTGGCGCAGCACAACAGTTTCCAGAAACTGGAAACATGATTTCATATAATTGTTCTTTTAAGCAGCAGCATGAAATAATTAGTATGGGGTACTTTAATTGGTGGTATCCAATTGACTTTTTATGAAAGACTTGAATCATAATAAAAGCAAGAACACAAGTTTGTTAGTTCCTAATACCCAGTGCTGTCATCTTTGGGGAAAAGAAACAGCAGCTCTGTTGTGTATTCCATGGCAGATCCAGTATGTATTAGGTGCTCAGCTCTTGGAGTTTCTTCTTCTTTTTTTTTTTTTTTTTTTTTAATCAAACATCTTCTGGGAAGGATTTTTGACAGGAAAATTATAGGATTGGTGCCCACTCTTAAGATTTATGTTGATAATTGAAGCTGATTCTTCTCAATAAAACGTAAATGCAGCTTAAATAACTAGCTGAAAGAAAAGGAACATGAAAAAAAAAAGAAAAAGTGTAGATATGTAGAAAGATTATTACTTGGTTGTCAAGGCCATCATTCCCCTCAGGCAGTTGTCACTAAATCTGTGCTTACTTCTCACTATGTGCCAGTCAACTAATCATGCAACTTTTATCCCTTTCTGATCTAAGCAGTGCAATGAAATTTGCTAGAGGAATGTAACTTTACAAAATGCTAAGATTAAAAAAGGAAGTAAATTAATAGACATTCCTGTTATTTATCTTCTCCAATATTATCCAGCAAAGATAAAAATATATATGAGCATTCCTGGATGATCCTGAAGGATTTTTTTCCCCGTCTAGGGTTTTGAGTCTCAGTTTTCAAGAAAGTTTAGAGGTCAGTCTTTATGCTTTCATTCTTACAGTGCTTGAAGTGCACGTACAGCCAGTTAAATGTCAGTGTGGAAAGCTTGCATACAATATATCTGAAAATGGTATTTCATTTATTTGTGGTCTGGGCCAGGCTGACAGAAACAATAGGAGGCTTGTCCTGTATTGTGTGCTGGCTAGCTAGAATTGCCTGTGAAAATACAAACACAGTGCATACTAGCATATGTCCAAACTTTGGTTTTTAAAAGGCTTCTTAACTGCTTTTTAAACATCTTACATTGAAATTGGCTTTTTATTTTTCCAGAGCATCTTAAGAGCAATTGATTTTAGCTCTGTAATCCTTTGTTTCAACGCCTTTCCTTGGGAATTACATAGGAAGTGAGTAAAAATATAAACAGAATAAGGTTTTTAATCCCTCTAGGCATTTTTACCTTGGAAAGAGGGATTCGAAATTGGCCAACATAGTTGTGAGGGCAGAAGTATTCAATGAGGGGCTTTTCACAAAAGCTGTGTAAAAGTTTGGGATGAGTAGACACAGATGAATCTTTGCAGTGACTGAGATGTGTTCTCAGGGAGCACAGAAATCTATTAGAGGCTTTTTTAGCTGCTGCAAAACACCAGTACTGGTTGGCACAATTTTCTTGTGCTCCTTTCACTGGGTTTGGCCTGTTCCAAACCTCCTGGAGGTGCTGCTTAAAATTTGTCTTTGGTGTGATGTGCAGGCTTGGGCTGCTTGGGCCAGCAGAAGGGTTCGGAAGCTCCCTGGCTTCTGTTTTTTCTACCCAACCCTTATCTAAAGAGGAGGTTTATTACTATTTAAATGTTTTGTGATCAGTTTAATGATCAGTAATGTTCATGTAAAACTACCCTGTTCTGCTGCATACAAAATACAAATGTATTTCATTGTAGTCTGGCCATACTGACAGATTTTTGAGTGTGTGGTAGTGCTAGCTGATTAGTTGAACATTTAATTATCTTGAGGTGAAGAAAGTGTGAAATAAAATGAAAATGGTACATTTTAGGATAGTTTTATTTTATATACATAAATCAAAATATATATGCCTATTTCACATATTTAGCATATATTTAATGCAGCAATTCTTGGGCCTCTCCTCTTCTTGTCTCCTTTCCCTGTTTCCACATCAGTTTATGGTCTATTAACCTGCAGTGAATAGATCTTGTGTTTCTGGTGCTTCGCAGCTGTTCAAACCTCATGTTATTAATGTTAATAAAGAATCTTGGCATCTGAGATTTTAATAATCGGGAATTAGTGACCCAAGAGACTAATTTTTTATCCATGGCAAAGTTGTGCTTCAAGAAAGATGAAAATAAGGAAAACAATAATTTGAAATTGAGTCAACATTTAAAAACCTTCAAAGCTTTGATAGGTGTTTGTTCCAAATTTGGAATTCTTTGGTACCTGGTAGCTTACCGTATTTATCTGTGGTATATATATCTATGCAGACTATTACTGGGGTTGTTTGTTTGGGGCTTTTTGGGTTTTGGGGCTTTTTTTTTTTTAGTTTTATTTCATGTGTTTTGTGTTTTATTTTTGTTTGGGGGTTTTTGCTGGTTTTTTTGTCTTTTCTGTTTTTCTTTTTTTCTTTATGCAAGTTGAATTTTGAAATAGTGTGAATTATCAGCTTGAATTTTTAAATAGTGTGAAATTGAGTGCTGTTCTTGAAGAGCATCTTGTTTAGAAGTACCTTGTCTGGGAGGGTATCTTATTTGCTTGTAACTTTTTCTTTTATGCTGGATACTCTTGTCTCACAGTTTTTTCTAGAATTTTATAAAGTAAAAATTTTCCCAGTTTACGAGGCATAAGAAGCACTCAGGCCCTCCATGAATTTATACTTCTATGGCACTACTTAACGTGGAACTTAAGAGATGGTAGTACAAGTGAAAGAAAGCACCTCTGTGAGCAGTGGAAAAGTTAGAGTTACTCTGTAGACATTGCATGAATTAATGGCCCTTCCAGAAGGTTGCATGAGGTCGGCTATGGGTTATGGATTAGAAGTACCAGTTCTGCTGGTTGAGGTGGTCTGATCTCTGTGGAGTGCTGCAGGACTAGTTTTTGTAGTTCTAGATGTGCATATGCATGTATGTATAAATTTATGTACATGAATAGATCCATGTAAAGATGGATGTAATTTAGGAATCTGGTTGTCCTCTGGTATTAAGTCCCCTCTTGAAAAAATGCTTTTGAACATACTCACTTGGGAGAACCTTGCACATGGTGAAGCGCACTCAGGTTTTCTTTTGTGTACTTTAGGATGTTAATAGCTGCTCTTGTCAAATCCTATGCTGGGAGGTGATGGTTAAGTAGCTGTTTTGCAAAACACCGTGACTGTACCTGGCAGTGATTTCCTAAGAAAACTTGGGTTTTTTTTACCTTGCAGGTTCCCGTCTTCGACAGGAGGATTTCCCGCCTCGCATTGTGGAACACCCCTCAGACTTGATTGTTTCCAAAGGAGAGCCAGCCACCCTGAACTGCAAGGCAGAGGGCAGGCCCACGCCCACCATCGAGTGGTACAAGGGGGGAGAAAGGGTGGAGACGGACAAGGATGACCCGCGCTCCCACCGCATGCTGCTGCCCAGCGGATCTTTATTTTTCCTGCGCATCGTGCACGGGCGCAAGAGCCGGCCGGACGAAGGGGTCTATGTGTGTGTGGCCAGGAATTACCTGGGGGAGGCTGTGAGTCATAATGCATCGCTGGAGGTGGCAAGTAAGTGCATTTCCCTCCTCCCCCCTTCGGTAACAGCGCTTGCTTTGATGTTATTTGAAGATAGAAATAAGTGTGAGCTGCCTCTGAGGCAGTGACTTGAAAGCAATGAAGGAATTACACGGTTAATTATTATTTATACAGAGATAGGAAAAAAGAAGGGGAGTCAGGCGATGTATCGTATCACTGGAGAAATTCAGATGATTTTGTGCGTTCTCGCTACTTTTATGCTTCCGTGAAATTATGATTGCTTTATGTTTGTAAGTTTGTATATTAGTTTCAGTTTATACATGTTTTTTCCTCTCCAGATAACCATGCAATTTACAGTGTGTAATAGGAGGCAGGATAGCCAGGATTTGATCTAACGGGGTAGTTGTTGTTGCACAAATAAGCAATGGAAAGAGAAATGGCAGATTTAGGAAGACAAAATTAATTTTTTTTTTCTCTAAAAGAACTGGCTCACAGTTCTCTCTGGTTTTAAGTAGTGGCCAACGGAAGGAGCAGTCAAGTATGTTCACATCACTTTGTAATGCTTATCTCTTCCTGTATATCCTTTAAACTCTACTTGTTGTAGAGAAAGAGAGTGCACATTTAAGTGGTTTAAGCATTCGTATGGAGGGCCAAATGTAGGTCAAAAAAAATCCATTTTGGAGGTTACTAAAGTATGAGAGGAAGACTTGCAATTCAAAGTTAGATATCTATTTTGAAGTGGCTTTTATAGGCTTCCTTTGTAATGTGTAGCAATTCACCTGGTATCCTGTTGAAGAGCGGCACAGAACTGGGTGAGTCACTCTGGAAACACTGATCTCTGTTGACTGAATGATTCATGTTGTTAAGCAGCTCTGAAGAGGCTCCTATCTCTTAGATAGGTTAAGTGCCACTATTTGGTGTATAGTTTCAGAAGAAGAGTTAGTAGATTTTCATAAGTCTTACAGCAGGCTAAGGAAATAGATTATAAATCTGTGCATTTGCTTGAGCCCTCTGTCTGGTCTGTCACGTTCAAGACAATCCCAAGAACTTTTGTAACTACGCCAGAAAGATCTCAAGCTTCACATACAACAGCATAGATATACATGATTAAGATCATGCTGTTTCCTTGTTAACCACTTTAGTGATAAAAGTAATCAGTGTCTGGGTAGCTGGAAGTATGCTAATCCAGTAAATGTGTAAACTGTTTGAATCATACTCGTTACTCCCAAATGCCATATCTGGTATCTTGCAAGTGTAATTTTGAGTGGGCATTAATGGTTGAGATCTTGATTTTTATCTAATTGCTGTTTCATTTATAGCACTTCATGCTGGTTCTTAGAAGGGTTTTAATGTTCTGTGCTTGTTTTACGTTATTTTCATTTGTGGTGTACCTTGAAGTGATGTTGAAGTGCACGCAGTGCTTCTGTGTCTTCCACACTTCTCATCAGAACCCAGAAATGTGAGGTGGAATTCAGGGATTGATGCACTATGCATGCATCAGTTCAGCTGGTACATAGCTATTAAATGTGTTTGTCACCCCTGGATCAAATATTTTTCTTGTGATTATAGTATAGAGTCTTACCAACAGAGTCTGAATGCAAAATATTGATATTGCCACAAAATTTTTTAAGAGCTTCAGCCAACTAATGAGACAAAAAAAAATTCTTTGAAGTGTGTAAATGTACACCATTTAACAATAATGTAGCATTAAACTGTTAATACTCCTCAAAGTGGAACTCACTAGCCCTTGGAAACCACCAACAACCTGTAAAAAAACCAAAAACCCAATCTATATTAGGAAATAGGATTTGTAGGTATAATGATATACAGTTTCAGTTGCATACCAGGACATGGTAGACAAAGAACTTTAACAGTAAAGGTTATTATTTTAGTGGAAAGGTAGTGATGTGACAGTGCAATAGCACCAAACCACTTTAAATAGCACAGAAGAGGTGAGGAACAAGGAAAGAGTTGAAGGCTGGTGGAATAAATTTGCATAAATTAAAAAGCTCTGCGTTATAGGTGTAATGCCATCATCATTATGAACTGGAGCTGCGTTCACAGCGGATTGCTGCAAATCAGCAAACTGCTCTGTTTGGTTCTCAGTACACCTGTGCTGAGCCCCAGAGCATTTACATTTGTATGCCTCTAGTCATACACAGTTGCTTGTTTAGAAATCCATATGTTCTAGTTTAATTTTTGTGTGTTTGCAGAGTCAAATTGCCTTTGTTTGGTTTCTTCTTTCCACAGTACAGAAGATGATTAAGAGTACTCATTATATGCTTTGATGCTACAATTTTAACCAGAAACCTTTTGTGAAACAGGAAACAGCATCATGTTCTGCAGTTTACCTGCAAACTCTTGACTGGAAGAGGCAGCTCATGTCTGCACCAGTTTGTTTTACAATGTGATAAGAAATTTATCACTTTCCTTCCATCATCTCATATAGTAACACATTGTTAGACAAAGTTCCTTTGCTTTCTAATGGATGTTGTGCACTTTACTTTAGATTCAGGTTAATACTAAAGTAAGTTTTCATGTCTGTTATGCCTTCATGCAATTATTTTTCAACTTTTTAAGCAGTTCCCATGCTCATCTTTTGAGATTAATTCACAGAAAGAATTTGTTGTCTATGCAGTCAGGTGGACATCTTCCTTAAGCACACTGTTCAGAGATTCCACAGTTGCAAAGAAGGAAATGTCTGGGGATTTCAAAGCTACAGATTTCAGAAGATTGCACTGTTTTAAAGGCTGTTTTATCTTTTTTTAAATACCTGTGTATTTTAAGAACTTTCAAAGCAGCTTTAGATTTGATTACCCCAGGGGAGTAGTGACTTAAATCAGAATTGAAGATGATTTTCCATCTGCTTTGTCACTTTCTAGTCATCAGCCTCTCCTTAGTGACTTGACTGACATTTGCATGTCATTTAATCCAGAGGATGCTGCATTTTCTTCCACTGATATATATCTAAGTAATGATAGTGTTAGTCCTAAATAAATACCATTGAACATGACCTAAATAGCATTTATTATCAGCAAATTGAATTAAATAAGCTTCTTATTCAATGTATGGCTCTTGTGACCCTTCCAGAATGTTTGAAGGTGTGTGTCTACTCACAGCATTAAGGATTTGTTGTATCTTCTCCATAATCCTATTTTATTTTATATAAAAATATTTTTGCAGCTCTATTTGCCTAAGTTTCTTTGGTTATTTCTTTGAAACCATGTCCTATCCCCTAAAAATCCTTATAAACAAGATGATCCTCTGGCTGGTGAAGAGTGGTATCCTAAATCTACCAAACATGTTCTTTAGCCAGCCACTTGATATTTCAAGAATTAAAATCTTTCAGACACTTTGGAGATGAGTAAAACTACTCTCTGTTGCAGAGCTCTGTGCAAAGAAGCTTTGTAATTTAGTATTACCTGACATTTTCTTTGTAATTTAGATCTGTGATAAATGGGAAGGAGATAAATTTGCATAAAATGTGAATCACAAGTCAGTCAAAGAAGTGATCCTGTCTAACTGGGGATTTTTTTTTTTTTTTAGTTGACTGGCTTCCTGTGTATTTAAAATCCCATTTCCACAGCTGTTTGAAATGGAGACTGGCTGTATGTGTTCAGAGCTGATTTGCAGAAGCTTGCAGTCTCTGCAGTGCACCCAGAAGGGCTGAGCGATGGGATAATCAGGCTGGAGGCATCCTCCAGACTGAGACTGCTCCAAGTCTGCTTCCCTCCCTCTCCCTGACTTCCTGAACTCGGCCTTTTGATCACTGGAGACCTCCTTAAATTAGCTCCATGTTTTGTTTTGGAGGAATGTAACTGGTTTTGGATTACTGCCTACCAGTGACACGTTCTCCAGTGGTGAAAGGTCCTAAGGAACGGGGAAAGGGCATGTCCTTGTCAAAATGAAGCTGGGTAATTCTCTCTATAAATGTCAGCTTTTACAGGTGGCAGAAGAAAGTGGAATCATACTTCATCCTCAGAGTAAAGGCTGAAGACTGTTTTGGCTATCACATAAACAGTTGGAAAACAAAGTCGTTTTTCAGAGTAGGGAAATAGAAACAGTTTTGAAAAAGTGCATTAGCAGACTGGAAAGCGGCTGCAAGCTGCTTCACATGCTTGAATCTCTCAGGATTGTCTGGTGAATGGATTCACCTGATTAAAACCAAATTCTGTTACTGGAGTGTGATCGTTTGTTTCAAATTTTAATTTTTTTTTAATGTTATTCCATTTTGAGGAAAATTGTATCCCTGGATCTTGTCGATGTCTGTTAAGTAACAATTTTTTAGAAGCACACTCATCTTGAGAGTGGCAGCAATAGCTGCAAGGGTGCATTCATCTTTCTTTCTCCACTCTAAAGATTTCAGGCTGTTAAGAAAAAAACAAATGCAAATGAGGTTGTTTATGTTTGCTAGTCATGAACTCTGCAATCTGTTTTTCAAATCATATTTCTCTGAGACAAACTTCTCTTTTGCCACAAGTTCTTTCCCCTCACACCTTGCCTTGTCAGTGAGAGTTTTTAGAGAAGGGGTATATTTATTACCAAGGTATTTGGTATGATTCTTTCATGTGTAGTTTTGTCATCATCATAACGTAATTTCCAGTGCATACTAGATGATGGCTCTAGTTCTAAAAATGCTTTGTTACAGTTTTAAGATTATAGAATCTGAAGATCAGTGATGACTTCTCTGTAGTTAATTTTCCTGTTATGCAGAATATGAGCTGCTCAATTAGCTGCAAAATCCTTTCTCACTTTGCATTAATTTTAGGCAATATACAGCCTTCCTGAGTTAGTGATTATAGGATTACCTGCAAATCATGCAGTATGGTCAAAATTCAAACAATAAATTTGTATAAATGGACCTTATGTGTAATCATTGGCACGTTAAGAGAGTGGGACAAATAACTCCCTTCTTCAGCTGCATGACAACGAATAAAAGATTTTGGATACATGTCAGAACTTCCATCATTTGAGGCACCCATGTGCTGTTTATGGTGTTTACAGTTTGATTTGGCAAAGTCTCACAAAAGTCA